TTTTTTTTTTTTTTTTTTTTTTTTTTTTTTTTTTTTTTTTGCAGTAGGGCACTATCTGCCGTATCATCTTGTATTACTTTTTGATGTAAAGCAACTAATATTTACACTATGCCATATTTTTTTTTATTGTAGTTGTAAATTATGAAAGATCCTTGAATTTTTTACCAATCTACAACTACTAAAATAACAGACAAGGGCAATCTTGGTATTTAAATCTGAGCATGGCAGTTCTACCATAAAAAGTACTCTATTTTTCTAATTTCTAGGGTTTTTAAAATAACATTTCTGTAAGTCTTCTGACATACTAATATTCACTCAAGCAGTACCATTTGTTTTAGTTTGCGTATATTTCATTGTTTTTAATTTAATGTAATGTACTGAGTCTAATAGACTGTTTTGCAATAATTAGAATAAAAGATTTATTTCTTCTAATAAAAGATGCATAACAGCTATTATCTAGGGGACCACCAAATGTGATTTCAAGATTTAGTTAACTATTACAAATGTTAATCCTTATGTAGAAATTTTAATTTTGTAAAGTAGTGTATAATATTGTAACATTAAATTCTTGTTCTCAAATTCAAATATGTATTGATTTTTCAATGTGCTGTGTTAATCTTGCTTCTCTGAAATGTTAGAGACAAGATTTGTCTTCCTTTTTAAAGTTTGTAATTTTCACTGTTTTATTCCTGTAAAAAGACAAAAAAATAAAAAGTCATTTGTAACCCATGCAATCATTTGATCTGTGCTAACTTATCAATTTGGCTATTCAATAAAGTTAATTGAAAGTGCTTACAAACAGTGACTAATTATTTAAAGTGATTGAACAACTTGCCAATCACTTAGTAGTGCTATATTGTGTATTCGAGTTAAGTCAATGGAAAATTATTGCTGAAGGTGCTCTAAATCTCTTAAGTAGGTAGTCTGGGAGGTCATAAACTGAATTTTTTTTTTTTTTCCCTGTGGTACAGGGATCTGAACCCTTGACTGTGGTGTTATAACACTGCTTCCTAACCAACTGAGCTAACCAACCGGCCCATAGACTGAATTTTTGATGCACATTCCTCAAGAATAGCTGGGTTTGAAATTGTAGATCGAAGGTTATTTCTTCCTCGCTATTGTTAAGATATGACTTCATTGTCTTCTGGACCCTTTTGTTACTGATAAGAAGATGACTACTGTCAGTCCAATTGTTTCATTTGAAGATTAATTTCTTAGCTTTTTTTTTTTCTTAGGCAGAGGTAGAATTTCTGTTAGCTTTTAGGATTTTTCTTTTATCCTTAATGATTTATAGTTTTATTACCCTGTGTTTATTGTTTATCCTTATTATTCAGAGCACACTTAAATCTGAAGATTCTAGTCTATCTTCAATTCTTGAAAATTCCCCTGGGTCGGCCCGGTGGCGCACTGGATAGTGCGCCGCTTGGGAAGCGCGGCGGCGCTCCCGCCCGAGGGTTCGGATCCCACATACAGACCGGCTCCCGCTCACTGGCTGAGCGAGGCGCGGGAGCAACGCCGAGGCTTGCAGTCCCGTTGCCGGTCCCCGGTCCGGTATGGGGGCAACACTGAGGGTTGCGATCCGTTGCCGGACACGGAAAAAAGACAAAAGACAAAAAAAAAAAAAGAAAATTCCCAGCTATTTTCTTTTCAAATATCTGCTTCTCTGTCATCCTCTCTATTCTTTTTTTACCCCCAGAATTCCTATTAGATGTATGTTTTCACTAATTCCTTTTTTGACAGTGTCCAGTCTGGAGTTTAATCTTATCTATTGAATTTTGTATAACTACATTTTTCATTCCCAAGATTGTTTTTTTTAAATATATCCATGTGTTTTTTATTCATTTCTGTCTGTTTTTGTTCAATAATGTATTTTTGTATAAAAAAATTTTTTTTTTAATTTTTATTTTATTTTATTTTATTTTATTTTATTTTATTTTATTTTATTTTATTTTATTTTATTTTATTTTATTTTATTTTATTTTATTTTATTTTATTTTATTTTATTTTATTTTATTTTATTTTATTTTATTTTATTTTATTTTATTTTATTTTATTTTATTTTATTTTATTTTATTTTATTTTATTTTATTTTATTTTATTTTATTTTATTTTATTTTATTTTATTTTATTTTATTTTATTTTATTTTATTTTATTTTATTTTATTTTATTTTATTTTATTTTATTTTATTTTATTTTATTTTATTTTATTTTATTTTATTTTATTTTATTTTATTTTAGTGGCCTTGGTGTTATCAGCACCACACTCTCCCGAGTGAGCCACGGGCCGGCCCTCTTTTTGTTTTTTTGTTGTTGTTGTTGTTTTCCTTTTTGTCTTTTTTACTGACAAGTAACGGGATCGCAACTCGGTGTCGCGCCTGTACCGGGGACCGGCAATGGGATCGCAACCCTCGGTGTTGCGCCCACACTGCGCTCAGCCAGTGAGCAGGAACTGGTCTCCACATGGGATCCAAACCCTCGGCGGGAGCGCCGCCACGCTCCCAAGCGGCGCACTCTCCAGTGCGCCACCGGGCCGGCCCACTCTTTTTGTATTTTTAACTGTTACTGCTGTGTGTAGTAGAGAGGAGTCCAAGCATCAACTTACTGCCTGATTTTAAACCCAGAAACTGAACTCTAATTTTATCACTTAATTCTTAATAATCTGTTTGGCTTTCTTCTACAGTTTACCAATAAATTGTTAATTTTAGCCTACCTAAAATATGCTAAGATCAAATAAAAATTATATGTAAAACTCATGGAAAATGCCAAGTTTTGACACTTCCTTTAAAGATAAATTTCTGCAAATATTCAGGTACGTTTAGTCTAGTACTCTCAGTGCTAGACTTGGGGCAAAGTGGCACTTCAAAAAAAAGGATAGAAAGGATAGGCTTGCCCTTGTAAGGTATATGGTGAGGAGGACAGAATTTAATACAAGAATCAAAAATCAAAAGTACACACATCATTTATCAAAGAATCACATATACCATTGAGAAGTGCTAGAAAGGATAATTAATAAACCACAGAAAGAAACCCACCTGGAAAAAGGCTCCCCAGAGACAGGTAAAATATGAAATCCTGACACTTAACTCTTACGTTATTAAATGAGCCATCAACCATCAGGGCTGGCTGGTTAGCTCAGTTGGTTAGAATGGGGTTTAGATCCCTGCACTGGCCAGCTGCTCCCCACTTCCCCTCCAAA